CCCCCCCTGCTAACATCGGATTACCTTGCGGAACGCGGTGTTTTATACTTGCGCTTTTTCGTTTTGATAAGATAAAGGTATCTCCTGGGGTTAGAGTTATCATAGTTGTCTCTTAACGCCCACTCTAAGAAAATAATGTATGCTGATTATGACGTACCTTTAACCTGTGTTATGGTGTTTCAGTCGAGACACAAAATCGCCGTGTTCTACTGGAGTTGATGATGACTGCGAAGAATAAATTGTTACAAACACCAGACTAAATCTGATGTCTTTGTAATCTGTATAAAACACGACTGCTCACTATTAATGCAGTACAGATATTGAAAATTTGCCTTATATATATAACGATAAACTAAAGGCATCAAATGTCAGATGTTAACTCTCGCTGTAAAAACACTGGGTATAGCACTGCGATGTACGGACCGCAAGGTATTCTTGTGTTGTGCGATGATCATTGGGTGGGCGCGGTTTACCCCCTCCTCCAAAATTTCACCCCAGCAGGCACTATTTAAATAATGATAAATCCCGGATACTTTTACTCCTGTCTAAATTCATCCAAAGGCACCATTAGCCCGTGACGGCCACCTGCTAATGTCTAAGGTATGTCTCGGGGGATCAATATAGACCCACGGACTGAGGAAACCATGGTTATACTTTAGAAGATAGAAAAAGGTCTTTCTAACAATGTCACGTGTTAACTGGGGGGCGGGGAGGGGACCTAGGATACGCTACTACTTCATTACCCGAAAGGGTGTGTGTTACGTCAAATGTGTTGCGCACTCAGAGTTATTTCAGTCTTAAATAAATAGGATGTAGCAACGAAATAACTTCCCGAGATGAGATGAGATGGAAGTTAAAATCATGACCTCTCTCGGTCTATTAAACCTCAAAGACTTCATTAGTAGGATACCTGGGTACGAAATTCTTAACTATAATTCAAGACACGAGCTGGAGAAACTCGAACAAGAATGGCTTCTCACCGAAAGTTGTGAATAGGCTTTTAAAAGACCACACAATTGAAATGTTTGCCTTGATGATACTTTCCTGAACCTGTTTCCAGCACCCGCTGTGATTGAGCCAACGAGGTTAACTATAAGCCTATACCATTCGAAGCGAAAAGGAAAAAGGAGTGGCAAAAACACAATTCTATACAATAAAAATGCAAGAAATTTGCAAAGAAACAACTTTATTTCTCATCAAATACAACTTACATGTTAGGAGAGAGACTTACCAGCTTGTTTTTCATTTTAATTCTTTTAATCCTACAGAAAATTTCATTTTTTTTCTTAAAAGGCAAGTCAAGTTTTTAAAGGCGCAGATGATGATATTAGTGTTTTAGGGTTGGGAAGAGATTCCACTTCACTGATTTATCACGCGATGATATTCAGGTGACCAATTTTATGTGTCTCTAGTCTATGTGACCTCTCTGAGAATAGTTCTAAGCCTGGAGTCAATTTTTGTCCCCACAAAAAAGATGATAACTTTCTTAGACAAAATTGGGATGATTTGTTACAACTGAACTGGATTGGGATTACACTGAAGCATAGTAATCAGACCTCTCCTCTAGGGGTAGACAGTCAAACAGTCAAATGCAATCTAATATCCTGGCTACAATATAACTTCCTCAAGTTACTATAATCCCCCATCTCACGGGAGATTGTTTCCCCACAATTGCTAGCTTGTTCTTCATTAGACCTACACAAATTTTCTAACACATTCAACTCAAAACAAAGGCTGTCAGCCTAGAGCAGTTAAATTAAAAATTATAAGCTTCTGTCTTTCTGTTCTTTTCTTATTTAAATGTGTTTAAGGAAAACGGTTTTATACACAGCTCTGACAATGACAAAACTAAGAATTGAGACACATGACTCCCTATAGTGTAGACAAGTCTGCTACCCAATATAAATGTTATTAACTTCCAGGTTTACAAAACCGCAATCTGAACCAATTTTTGTGTCCTTAATAGAAGTCACTAATTCAAGATGTCTCTATGGTTTTCAATACAAGTTTGCTAACTATTTCAATCTGCTAATTATCATTACTATTCTAAAATGGAGTATTAGGTTTATTAAGGTGCCAATGTCAACACAAACCAATTGCATATTATCTACATTCTCCTCATTGGCCCCCATTAGATAACTATCAAGTCATTTACAACTAATACTTACTATCCTTTCCTATACAGCTGAGATCTAAATGTCAGTAAATAATACTGCAACAATACTACAAAAAATCAATTGCTCTATGCAACAAGAGTAGGTTTTTTTTCATGAATCTACCACACCTTTGACTGTTTACACCAAATGAGCAGATGGAAACTAATCTAAAATAGGAAATTTCACAAATTTGTTGCAAGACAACAAATTTCTGAATTTATGCTAATTTAGGAGATTTAAGATATTTTCTTGATTTATAACTAGGCTAGGAAATCTCATGCAAAGAGCTAGAGTAAATCTGATGGGCTGTTACAATTCACAAGCAAAATATCTCAAACAATTGATCAAGAAGGGATGAACTGTGCTAAGATTGATTGTTTTGACTGTGTAAGTATATATTTCTGCTGTTTGCTAACATCACTCTGCAGCTATGATTCAATTCAAAGTCCAGCTTACTAAAATGTTAATTTTACCAACTTTATGAATTAACATCAATCTGTTTCTATATGTGTTATTTCTACATCTCAAGTCTACAGCAGCAGCTTCCCTATTCTTTGTACACTACACACTTCCAAGCTTCTGAATAAGATGCAGTGGCTGTGAATGCCTGTCTACTCTGTTGTTTCAAATGTGTTCAGTTCTCTTGCTGTAACTGTCTGTCACTCACTGCAGCTACAATTAACCTGCATTAAAAGTACACAGTGTTAGTGAGTGAAAGTAAGAGTTGTCCAGCGTATGCTAATGCCTTTAGATCTGATGGCTCAAACAATTCACAAATAATTAAAAAATTGTAATATCAGAAATGTTCCTAATAAAATCACTATTTCATAGTATAGTATCATTTATGGTTACTTCAAATAAAAAACTCATGGAATCATCAGGAACATTTTAAACAGATGCAGGAATAAAATTAAACATCTAAAAAAAATTTTAAAAATTACCTGTCACACCTTGTGACAGGAAAGACAGCAACAAAATGTAGATAAAACTTAACAGCCAAATAAATAACTGCATATAAAAACAATACTACAGAACAACAAATACTCACTGTACTCTTCTATTCCTGGAATGAATCATTTCAAATTGTCAGTAAGAGGACATTTTCATAACTTATTTGTTCTGTCTACCAGATGAATCATCACTGTAAATCTGAAGTATCAGGACTTTCATGTATTTTGATACTAAAGAGGCATGTAATTGATAAAATTCTTTTGAACAGAATCAAGTTAGAGATCCTATTTTCAAGACGCAATACTTAATTGTGTTTGTACTTCCTAATTTATATCGGTGGAACTATGTTGTTAAAATTTGGGTGATGTGGACCTTTGGATGCAAATGATCTTCCTGTCTAAGAAACCTCTTTGAAAAACAAGAAACCTTCATTTTTCTGATGACAACTTTGATTTATGCTTAGGCGAATAAATTGCAAAATATTATTTCATGACATTAAATTTATTAACTTTCATGAAATGAAGCACAACCGTGGATGGAGTTGAGAATGGTTCAAAATTAAACAAAAGATACAACACAATGTATATGATCTTACCTCAGTAAGGTCTGAATCCTCGATTATTTTTGTCACCTCCATTTGCACCACGACTATTCATACGATTGGCGGGACCATAGCTGGAATTCATCTGACCATAGTTCCCCATCTGATAATCACCAGGCCCTCCTCCTGATCCCCCAACCCCACCACCTGCAGCAGCAGCAGCTGCAGCAAACTGATTCCAATCACCCATGGAGGGAAAGCCTCCAAAGCCAAATCCAGGATAGCTGCCATAAGCTGAAGCCATTGGGTTGTTCATCCCTTCATATCCACCACCAGAACTTCCACCAGTACCGCTAGAGCCTGCCATAGCTGAGGAGACATTGCGCTCCCCAGCCATGCTGCCCTTAACATCTCCCATACCATAAGGAACTTCATTGTAATTATCTTTGTCATAGTTGCTAGAACTACTATGAGAATGACCTCTTCCAGAGGCTCCCCCACCACCATAACTTGCACCACTCCCAGCGCCGTACCCACTTCCGGCTCCAAAACCTCCCGTCCCACCACTTCCTCCACCTCCTCCTCCTCCTCCTCCTCCACCTCCCCCTCCAAAACCGCCTGGGCCAAACCCTCCAAAACCACCAAAAAAGCCTGGCCCAAAACCACCAAATCCCATACCATTGAACCCAAAACCAGGACCAAAGTTACCCATTGCACCAGGACCAAATCCACCAAAAGCTGCCGGATTGAATCCACTCATTAATGCAGCAGCTGCTGCTGCAGGATTACCAAACCCACCAGCCCCAAAACCACCCATGCTACCAGTACCAGGCATCCCACCAGTCCCAAAACTGCCACCATTACCACCTCCACTGCTGACAGGACCTCCAAAATTCCCTAGGAAAAAAAAAAAAAAATTAATGTTAATGATAAAAACACACTGTTTATCTTATTAACTGAAAATATAATGCAAAGTCAGGTTTTCTCACGGCAAAACTACAAAACTACAAAACTACACCTGATTAAAGCTGAAATATCTATTTCAGTTCTGCCCAAAAATAACTCAACTGTCTAAGAATTGTGCAAAATTTAGACCTGTAGGCCATCTCATTTCTCTCACCCTTCCCCTCTTTAACCAGTTTGCACCCACATTTGTCAATTTGCTTCCGGTTCTCATTTTGCTTGTGCTCTGGACATGGATTTGAGAGAAAATAGTCCAGACACTGATAAAGGGAGACCAATCAAAAATTGTGTATCAAGACCTACTTGAAGCCTGTATTTACAAAATAAGGAAACTGACGGTGTTTGATTCTTCAAAAGTTTCAAAATGTTTCATTCTTAGAAATGTGGTCACCTCTTCCACCAGAGCCTCCATATCCAGAATTCATTGCATTGAAACTTCCACCACTGGAGCCCCAACCTGGGAAACCTTTTTCCAATAAACAAAAATTAAAACTGTCAACACAGATTTGAGTTCAGCACACAGGAGAGCATTGGCCAGTAGCTTGTTGTAGATGAATTTTGAGGTAATATGTGCAATATTCAGCATCACTTAAAGACAGTTTTTATACTTAACCCTTAGGATTGACCAGTATCTAATTCCTCCTTACAATATCACCCCTGAATTGAACATTAAGGTCATGAGAATGAAGGAAATGGTCATCAACTTAAATGTAAGAAGCTCTTGATGGATAGACAAATTCTCCTCGTCGTTACCAAAGGAAATGTACAGAGAACAGTATAGAGAATATGCATGCTGATTTTAGGCTGTAAAAGGTTAGGTGTGAAAATGGTGACTACCAATTGGGAAGGGGTGGGGTGGTTTGTGGTGTGATCATCTACAGTCCTAAATAGTAAGTGGCTTAAACTTATCTTCCGTTTCGAAAATTTTTTAAAAAGATTATCTTTACATATTTTAACGGAAAATTCCTTTTAATAAAGAACTATGCCTGACCTTCAGAGCTCGGAGTATTCAGTGCTCCGTTTGAGCGCCGTGACTCCTTTAACTCTTGTTCCTCCTTCTTCCTCATGGTGGCTTGAGATTCTGCCTTCTTAACTTCACACTGCTTAAGCTTTATTTGATGAAAACTGATCGAACAAATGCTCTCAACCACTTCTTCATTGTCGAAAGTGACGAATGCAAAGCCACGGAGCCGGCTGGGATTTTCTTTGTCTCTTTTGAGGTCGATATCCAATATTTTTCCCTTGCCGAATTTTTCACACAAGCCAGTGAAATATTCTTCCACATCTTCCTCTGTGGCCGTGCTTGCCAACCCACCGACAAAAATCTTTCGTGTCCTCGACTGAGCTTCGCCCTTGGGAACCGACCGTTTTGGTTCAATTTCCCAGTTATCCAGCTCGTGGTTTTTCACTTTCAAACAATCATCAACAGCTTGAGCGTTATCGAACGTGACAAATCCGAATCCACGCGAAGGCCCATTTTTGCCTTCACGCATAATAACACAGTCTACGATGTTCCCCCACGCTGAAAAATACTCCTTCAAACTTTCTTCTGTTGTTCGACGATTTAGACCACCGACGAAAATTTTTCGCAGCTGCTCAGGTTCTGAAGAAGACATGATTTTCTTAACTTTTTCACTCTCTCCTGATAAGTTCCAAGAAAATGGCGGATGGAAGTAACACTAATTGATGGGACCACGTGTTTAAATTGTAACAATCAATCCTCCTAATTTGGAATTCTTTACAACAAAAACAAACATGGCGGCTTCTGCCTTGATTGTTCCTTTGAAAAGGAGGAAAGTGAATGCTGAAGAAGAATTTTGTGATGAGTTTTTGAAACTTGAAGATGACCTTTGTAAAAAACTATCGCCGCTAGTGTTTTCTTCTCCAATAACGCATGTGTATAACCCGCTTGAATATGCCAGAGAAACACATGAAGATTATGTCAAGAAGTACTGCAAAGCTGGGCAAAAAGTGCTCTTTTTGGGAATGAATCCTGGTCCGTTTGGAATGGCTCAGAACGGGGTAAGCTTGTATGATGAGTAACTCGTCTGTTAACTAGTAAGTGCGGCACTTTTCCCGTGAAATAAATTCTATGAAGCCGACATTTGATCAACAAGCCAGTTCCCAGAGCAAAGCTCCCCAATAGGTGTAGAATCTCATCATGCAATATTTTCTCGTGATAGACATCTGTTGAGCAATTCTCCATTCGAGCTGCTTAAAATATTTTAAGAGAATTTTTGATACATAACTTCCTCTAGCTGGTAAGTCTATTTTCTCAACACCTGTGTTGACGAGAATTGAAGGTTTTTAAGATCTTTCCTGGAGTTAAATAAAGGAGACTGGTAACTTGTACTGGAAACCAACAAATCAATCATATTTCAAGTATAATATTGCAAGGAGAAGTAAGCAGATGTAATAAAGTTTAACAAATTAACTTAACGCATCAAAGAAAGACTTTAGGATCTCCTCAACAAAGAAGTCAATCTTGTAAAACTGCCTTGTAAGAGAGATGCTTTTCATATGCAGATTAGCCTTAAATTAAACAAGTCAACCTCCTTTAATATGAAGGTCTTTTATTCATCTTTGTCTTTGAAATCTTTAAATAATCATTCTCTTGGTAAAGGTGTTTTGATGACAAGAAAATGTTGATTACTCTGTAAAAGTTTGTCTTCAACAAATAAAGGAAAAGGTCATTTATTTGATATCAAAAGAGTATTGTGCAGAGTGATAAACAGCTAAAAAGATTTTTGAAATTATTTTGTGTTCACTAACTCCTGTTTATTTGTTAGGTACCTTTTGGAGATACCAAACATGTCATAGATTGGCTTGAAATAAAAGGTAGTGTTGAGAAACCAGTTCGAGAGCATCCTAAAAGACTTATACATGGACTTGACTGTACAAGGGCAGAAGTCAGTGGTAGCCGACTTTGGGGTTTCTTTCAAGAACACTGCAAATCACCAGAGACATTTTTTGCCAATTGTTTCATTCACAATTATTGCCCACTGGTGTTTATGAAATCAAGTGGTAAGAATGTTACACCTCCTCAGCTGCCCAAGAAAGAGAGAGAGACTTTGTTGGAGCTCTGTGATAAATCTCTGGCAGATGTTGTGAAGTTGATGGGAGTGAAAATTGTTGTTGGTGTTGGGAAATTTGCAGAGGAAAGAGCTCAGAAGGCTTTAAAAGACAGTAATGTTGAAATCTATTCAATCATGCATCCCAGTCCAGCAAGCCCTGCTGCAAATAGCGGTTGGAACAATATTGCTTTAACAAAACTCACAGACCTTGATCTCATGTGCTACATCAAAAATGAACATTTAAATCCAGTATTGTCCTGATGATAAACCCTCTGGTTAATATTCACTGTAAACTATCTTATTTTGATAAACTTTGATCCATCAGAAAGATGATTGGTACAACGAATGATGCATTCTGTATATAGTTTGAAACAATTACAATTTTTTTACCTACTTATCTTTCTGCCTACTTGATTAAAAGAAGCTAAATGTTCATAGTATTTTTAATCAGTCTACATACATGTAATAAATTCAGTTGTTGTGCCTAGAAATAGGCTACCCAACCAACAGGATCCACCTTAACCTTTTCACTCCCAGATCAACTAAGTTACCCTCCTTACTGTTTGCCATACAATTCTTATGAAGTTAGTTTAGCAAATTTAGCATTAGATCAACTAACCATTTGCTGACTGATGTTTTTCTTTATTTTTATCACTTGTCTGCTTGATATTGTATTGATATTGTAAGGAGAAATTGTCTTGGTCACTCACTGGAATTAAGCAATTACAGGCTTTTGATTTTAATTCGTTTTAAAGCCAAAGGGAAATTAAGCACAGTGGCAGATCAGAAAAAAAATTACAAAGTGAAGTTAAGTAACACCATTCTATCCCCAGATTACAACCAACCACTCAACAGGAAATTGCTATTAAGTGATAGAACAATATGCAAACTTTGACAAAAATATCACCTGTTCTGGTTGGTTGAGGGTAGTATACACATACTGGACTATTATCTAGAGCTTATGCTTCATATCGGGGAAAAATGGGGGGGGGGGGGGGGGGGTGCTAAAGATTTTAAATCTGGAGTTCCTATCTATTTCTATGGCCCCCATTGATGAACAAACCTGCTTTGAGTCACTCTCTCTGATAACACCTTTACCACGTCAGTTCTAAGATGATAAACAACTTTTGGCTTTGATCTGACAAACTCTTCCCCTCATTTTGTTAAAAGAGTCAGTCATTATCACTGACAACAGTCCTTTTCAGGACTGCTTGCTCCTGAAGGAGTATACAACACAACTCAACTGATACTCCAAGATTCAAACCAGCAACTTTACAGAAAGTAATCAAACATGTTGTGGTTTTTCACCTTACTTTATTTTTTTCCTATGAAACTCAATAAAACCGCAAATTTTGTGACTACAGAAGAATATACTTCCTATTCTACTTGTTATTCACAAAATAATATCTTTTATGAATACTTTTTCCATTGAAACTACTATAACTCAGCCAATAAAAGATCCATTAGGACAATATTAATAATGCTTCTCTCTTCTTGTATAATTTCATACACTTTGTTACCCTTAGATCATGGAATTTTTAGCGGGGAGGTTGAGTGACTAAGCATAAAAAAAGACTAAGCTGCAAACAGTTTCTCATGTATAACTTTTTACAACTGTAGTTGAAGATGGAATACTACCTGGAAGCAAAAAGTTCATAAAAATTTTTAAAACTTAAAATTGGATTTATAATCATTATATTAAAATTTTACTTTTCTAAAAACAAAAAATTACAAAAGTACCAAGAGATAATTACCTGTAATGCTAATTAAATTTAGTTCTAGTCAAATGACGGGTTACATTCAAATCAAAGGTGTTGATACAAACAGTCATATAAAATTAAATATAAATTTAATAATTTCACACATAAGAGAAACTGTACAGTGGCATTAAAAGCAATTTGAAATATCTTTTCTGTTGAAAAGAAACCTTATCCTTGAATATCTCCTTTCCTAATCCATGACCCAACATAACAGAGGCTTCAAAGTTGCTTGTAAAAGAGCATGCATAGAATCTCATTTGTTGACATTGAATGTGCCCATGACCTTTTTAGTACAAATTTCATGAGTTAATAATTTAATTCCCTTCTCTGGTCATTTCATTAGGTAGTAATTTTATCTTAAAATATATTTACATTAGAATGCTGCTTTGTCTCTCCTTTCAAAGCTTCTTTTGATTCATTTACTCTGTCATTTGTACGAGAAATAATATCTGTGAACTTTTTTGCAAAGTGAGCAAATTTTTGTGCATATGAAGGAACTACAATTGGGTCTACTGTGGATTGATGCAGTCTTTGACCCATGTAAGTAGCTAGGCTCCTAACTAAAATAACCATAATAGTTATTACTATAATAAGTGCAATATATTATTCAATCAGTAATTATTTCTTTCATTTAAATTATGTGTAAAACCTTTGTGGTTTACTTTGCTGACCTTATATTTTTCAAATCTTTGCGTTATCTGTTAACATCACCTCTCCATATGTTATATATAAGAGCTTTTAATCATAATATTTACCAGTACACTATACTTTTCCTTATGACACAATGTTGGACAACTCTTAACTATAACTGCAGACTTACAAACTGAGTGATTCTAATAAAAATTTATTAATACTGCTTAATTATCTAAAAGCATTGCTAGAGTAACTAATTTTCAAGTAGTGAGGCCAATTATTTAAGGAATGAGTTCCAACTAAATCTTGTGAATTTGGTTATAAACTGAGAAACTTTTACTGCCTTTAATTTTATTCATCAGGAATCTTCCACACATTTGATTGCCCTAACTTCAGGTGCTATGGGTGCCTCCACCATTAGTTTCACTCCAAACCATTTGCTCTGGACCTAAAAAAGAAAAATATGAAATAATGAGGTTCACTTCCATCTTGACTCAGCTCTCTGGGATGATGCATCCTTAAGAAAGACTTGGGAGTGTTACAAGGAGAAAAACCTCTCACAATGGCCTCTTATCCTAGCCCTGGGTGGGATAGAGGAGGTATTTCTTTCTAGACATAAAATACTGGGGAACTGTGAGTAGGGAGGAATGAAGACTAAGCCCAAGGGAAAAGAAACTAGAAATGAAGCCCACGTAAGTAGCTGCCAACCTGTTCCTAGGAAATACACTAGGAAAAATACATCCAAATGTCATTTTCACATTGTCTGAGGTTTGGACCATAACTGGGTGAAAACATCTTGGATGCTATGGAATAGCTTGGGAATTGAGAGGAAATAACCTAGGAAATGGTTATAACAAATCCGCAAATAGGTATGTAGGAGTTGAATTTACCAAAAAAACTTTAAAATTGCAAAATCTCACACAAGAAATTGCATAATTTATGAAATCTCTAGTTTTAGAAGAACTGTACCTTCTCAAAGTGCTCTGATCTGAGTTCTGAGTATTCAATCAATATCTCCCGAAGTTCTACTTCTTTCCGCCAATCAAAGTGAGCAAGCTCAGAAGACAAGTCTTTACAAAGAAACTCAAGGTTTGTTTTAGCATCTGCACAGTTTGAGTTTGCCTGAAAATGTTGGAAAATATTATATCAAGACTAAAAAAAAAAACAAAATGATCAGAAAGCAATGAGTATACTTACAAATATTTACGTTAATATCATCAAGATTTATGTAAATGTTTCTTTGCTATTTTATAACTCAGCAGCAAATGTAATAAGCTCTTGAATTCATCTTGTAAAAATAATGAAATAAATAAATAAATAAAACAAATAATATCCACCCATTGTTGCCAGTATTCTCTAAAAAACTATTTACATGCAGCTTGCAACAGTTGTTTTACCTCTGCCCATTTCTGTGTCTGACTGACATGATCAGGGTTGTCCTCATCTGAACCAGGATTCTGATGTAAAGCACACAAATATGAATACTGACTGTCTTTTAACAAGAACTAAGTGAATTAACTGGTAAACCAACCACACAAAGTTGGAATTGGTAGAAATGTGTTTAGTTAGGGTGTAATTTTGCACGATGACAGTAGATTTTTATTGATACATAAATTCTTTAAGGAAACCTCCACTCATGCAATAAATTGTCATTAATTTACCAAAAAAGATATTTCAAGCCAATATTTTTGTTAGCATGAATGGGAGTAAGACATTTACAGTGAGACAAATTTGAACCAGATATCATCCATTTTCAGGTGAAATGTTTTGTACATGTAGCCATTATATGTTGTGGACTTTTGTAAACAAAAGAACTATTGTTTGAGATAATAGTTGCAACCCATGTTGTCAAACAATCGCTAGATTCAAATATTTCTTGTTTTTGTTGTCCACCATTATCATTCATTCTGGTGGTTGTTTCCCATTTGTTCTGACAACTGTCAAATCACAAGACATTTTTGTCAGGTTGATAACAACTTGATCCAACAGAAGAAGCTTCCCTTAAGAAAAATTTAGCTATTCACCACCTACCTTCATCTGCTCATAATTTCTGACTTCTTTATCCCAATGTAAAAACATCTCAACAGCAGTCTGCACTCTTTGAAGAAGGACCTTAACACAATGATATCAAACAACTTATCAATAACAATAATTGGGCCTAGCTGGTTTTCAATCAATACAGAACTGGGTTAGCAGTCATATCATGAGTCACAAGGGTGCATAAGATCCATGAAATCAATTCATCCAATTACACCCATCAGTATCAATATTCCCCATACTCCATATTCTCCATCTCTGTGCACTTTCTGCAGTTCTGACAAGGATAAATTTTTTAACAATCAAGAGCCTCTTAACCCCTTTACTGCCTGCATGAATCAGGATTCTAAGCCTAACGTCAAGTAAAAAGCAACAGTGAAAAAAAATTTATTTGGTGCTAGTTACACAGTAATGTGATCATATGTCATGAGTTCTTTTTGACTGAGTGTTGTAAAAACTACAAGTTAAGTTATCATAACAGGCACTTAGAGAGAAGGAAATAAGATATAAAGCTTGTGGAAACTCAACATGAAAAAAGTAAACTGCCTGAGGCTCATGAAAATGCAAGTGGAAAAGTGTGGAAACTGATTCAGAAATGAAATACACACACACCTCAGCACTCTTGACATAATGGTGAACACTCCTCAGGTCATTTACAATCAGTTTTTCTTCTGCAGTTTCCTAGTCAGAGTTATTAACAAATCAGTTAGTTCCCTCTACAGATACTCTGTTATACATTTATAGCTTGTTGGACAACACTTCATTTCATTTTCACAATCCTCCCTGGGGAGAAATAAGCCATTGGCTAAGACATCAAACATCCAGTCACAAAAGGGAAGTAAAAAACAAGTCCTCAGTCCATCAATCAGTCATTCTGCCATTCATTCCTTCATTCACTGATTCATAATGTCAGTCATTGATCACTCCAGGATAAAGAACAGCATAAATTCTAAGAAAATATAATTCCTTTATTTTCCACTTACTCTGTTATTCTCCAATTCAATGCAGATTTTACTGAGAGCCTCAGTAGCAACCTGGAAAATAAAGTAAGAGCAAAGGTTATTCAGAAATTCACTCACAGTAATTATACTTTTGACTAAGTCTAAATTCATCATAATTAATGTCTAATATGAAGAAATTCAGAATAACTCAAGAATTTGAATAACATTCAATTATTTCTCTCACTGATTGAGTTTACTGACAATAATGATAATAGTACCTTTAAATATGTTTCTGCAGGTTCAAATTCTGCCAAAGATTTAAACCAAACCCCAGGGCCATCTAAAAATGAAGAACATTTACAAAAAATATCTGTGAGGGCAGAGTTTCACAAGATGCAGCAGTAAATCCTTTAACTCCCATAAGTGACCAAGACAGAATTTCTCCATACAGTATCAGTACAATATCA